AGAGAGAGAGAGAGAGAGAGAGAGAGAGAGAGAGAGAGAGAGAGAGAGAGAGAGAGAGAGAGAGAGAGAGAAACACAAAGAGAGAGAGAGAGAGAGAGAGAGAGAGAGAGAGAGAGAAAAAAACACAGAGAGAGAGAGAAACCCTTGCACCACTCTTCCCCGCTGCCAGCCCCAGCGCTACGCTTCCCCACGATCCCCGCATGCGCTGTTCTTCCTCACTCAGCCCTTTCCCACCGCCCGGGCCCTCTACATGCCCCCTTTTTAGCCCTTGTATTGGACAACCGATTACGTAATCGGTCTTCCTCGAAATCAATCCGCAAAAAAAAAAAAAAAAAAAAAAAAAAAACAAGGCCGACGAGCGTGCGCGCGCGCGCGCGCGAGAGAGAGAGAGAGAGAGCAGGACCTCCCTCAGGGCTTTGTCCTTCCTCGCGGTGTCCTTTCCGCTGAGGAACGCGCGGTTATTTTGGGCCGGCGTGGGTGTTTGCGTTGCCACCTGGACGGTCATACCTCCTCGCGGTGCGCTTACACCGCCGCCCTCGATCGCCACTACATTGACCTTTCCCGCCAGCGTCGTGCGCAGTCCCCCCCCGGTGCCTCGGATCCCCGCGGTGCCTCCTAGCCACGGTATAGTGTACACCTGTGCCCTCCTCAGTAGTGGGCTTCCCGACATCTCCGTCGTGGTTCGCCCCTCTCGCTAAAGGAGCTGAGGTATCGCAGGACCCGACAGAGTGTACTCAGCCCTCTGTCGCAGTACCGTCTCAGCCTCCGCAGACCACCGTCCCCCCTTCTACCCCTCCGCGACTATCGACGCGTCGAGCCATTCGTACAGCCAGTTGCAGCGAGCAGCTCGCTACTTGCGAGGACGTCGTGTCCTCTCTTCTGGACTTGAGCATGTTCCAGGCTCATCAGGAGCGACTCACCCTCCATGTCGCTGCATTACGTCGCCTTCTCACCATCCTCTCTGACCTTGATCGCACCCTCCCGATCATTCCAGTACGACTGGGGACCTCCACGAGGGTGTACTCAGCGCTGTGGGATTCCGGTTCTCAGGGCGACTTCATTCACCCACGCGTGGTGAAAGAAACCCGCTTACCCACGACAGGGTCTCCGACTCCTATCTCCGTCACCCTAGGGGATGACAAGACCGAACGCTTCTTCGATCAGACGGTCACCGACCTCCCCTTCTTCCTCACCCTCGACTCGACCGATCGTCCCCCGGCGTCTCGTTGCCACCGCTCCTCCACATATTTCAATGTGATGGAGACGGGGTACGATTTCATTCTCGGTACTCCGTGGTCTCGTCGGTTCCACAACACCGAGGCCGATTGGGTGACCAACACTCTCGTTCTCAAAACGAAGTGTGGACAGACATATCGCGTACCTTTCATTGGTACCACTGCGATACCACGCCCCGATCCTTTTCCCCCGGAGCCTTCCGTGCCCACACCACCTCCTACGAACACTGTCACCTCCCCTCGGCAGTTCGCCCACTTCATCCGACAGGACGACATCACCTTCTTTATGGTGAACGTTACAGATCTCTTACATTATGATCCACCCTGTCTTGACGTTGAGCTCATCCCTCTGGAGCCAGATCCTCCTTCTATCTCCATGACTCCCATCTCTCTTTCCCACCCTCCGCCGTCCGTCGAGTCCACCCCGCCATCGCGCGCTGACGCTGAGGAACTCGCACGATATACGGTTGACCTGGAGCCCACAGTTCGTGACCTCATTCGAGAGTACCACAACGTTTTCCCATCGTCGTTCTCGTACGACGGCATCCCATCGATACGCGACGTCGAGCACTCCATCCAACTCGTGCCTGACTACCGTGTTCACCACCAGGCACCCTACAGACTCTCGACCCCCGAGACCACTGAACTCAAGCGTCATCTTGAGGAGCTCCTGAAACTGGGTTTCATTAAACCCAGCAACTCCCCGTGGGGTGCACCACTGCACCCGACCTCTTTGCTCGCAAAGCGGATGGAACTCTTTGTCTCTGCATCGACTATCGCGGTCTCAACCGCTACACGGTTAAGAACAACTACCCCATGCCTCGTTCCGAGGAGCTGTTTGACCGCCTTGTAGGCAACCGCTTCTTTAAGAAGACTGATCTTCGTAGCGGTTACCATCAGATCAACGTCGTTGAAGCGGACCAGCCAAAGACAGTGTTCCGATCGCGCTTCGGCCACTACGAATTTACTGTGATGCCATTTGGCCACCAACGCACCCGTTACCTTCCAGAGGGCGATGAACGACATCTTCAGGGACATCCTGGAGCAGTACGTTCTCTTCTACCTCGACGATATCCTGGTCTACAGTCGTACCCTTGAGGAGCACCTCAGGCACTTTCGCGACGTCCTTGACCGCTTGCGCAGACATGGCTTCTACGCCAAGCTGAGCAAGTGTCGCTTTGCCCAGCACAAAGTGAATTTCTTAGGACACTACGTGTCTGACGAGGGTCTCCACATGGACGACGCGAAGATCATGGCTATTGCGGAGTGGCCCGTCCCCACATCTGCCAAGTAGCTTCGCAGCTTCCTAGGCCTCACTAGCTACTATAGTAATTTCATCCAGGGATACGCTAGGTATTCCTACGTCCTTACCTCCACCCTCCTCTGGAAGAACCCGCCATGGGCTTGGACACCCCTCCACGAGGACGCCTTCCGCGCGCTCAAGAAGGCGGTGACATGTGCATCGGTTCTTTACCTACCCAATTTTGATCGTCCTTTTATCCTTACCACTGATGCGTCAAACTTTGGAGCACTGCTTTCTCAGATCTTCCCCTCCACTCCTGATTCCTCTCATCCTCGTATCCCTCGCTTCCCACCCCCTACCCCTACCACTGCCTTCCGCCTGACGCCTACTCGTCCAGCTACTAACGAACCTTCTATTGACTATTCTCCTACCATCGCTGAGGACGACACTGTCAAGTCTCTCTCAGGTGATTATCCGATAGCCTTTTACTCTAGTCAGCTTCTGCCCACTGAGATAAACTACACCGCTGATGAACGTGAGGTTCTCGCAGTAGTTTATGCCCCTCGACACTGGTGTCACTACCTGCATGGGGCACCATTCACAAAACCGAAGCTCACTCCTCGACAGGCTCGCTGGTGGCGCGACCTATCTAAGTTTAGTTTCACCACTGAGCACATCAAGGGTGAGACTAATCGGGTCGCAGATGCCTTATCCCGGCGCCCTGACCACGATCAGGAGCAGATCCAACTCGCTTCCATCTCGGTCACCACCGTCCACCACTCGGTGATCGACGAGTTTCGCACTCAGTACCGCCACTGCCCCGACTATTGTGACATCCATGTGACCCTTCCGAGTGGTAAGACCGTCCCGAACTACTCTCTCGGGGACAACGGTCTTGTGTACTGACACGGTTCATAGGGCATTAGAGAGCCCCGTATTTGCGTTCCCTCCACTGGACAGCTACGTGTCCGGGCAGTAGCAGAGTTCCATGACCAGGCAACCGGCGGTCATATGGGCTTCCACAAGACATTGGCTCGTATGAGCCGCCTGTACGTCTGGTCGAAGCGCAAGGACTTTGTGAAGGATTACGTCCCAGAGTATCCCACCTGTCAGGACGTGAACAGTACGAACCACTTGCCTTATTGTTTGCTCCAACCTCTTCCTATCCCTGAGGGTCGTTTGCAGTCCATCTCGATGGACTTTATAGGTCCTCTTCATCCTCTGACCCCCCGCGGTCATGATGCTATCCTGGTCATCGTCGACCGCTTCACGAAGCGTGCACGCTTTGTTCCGTGCTGCTATGCCATCAGTGCACGTGAGGTCACCGACATCGTGTTTGACCGAGTCGTGCGTGACCATGGCTTACCTCTGAGCATCATATCTGACCGTGACCCGCGCTTTACCAACCGATTCTGGCGACGGCTTCACGAGGTTTACGGCACCCAGCTCCGCTTCTCCTCGTCTTACCATCCCCAGACTGATGGTCAGACCGAGGTCACGAACAGGACTCTCGGAGATATTCTCCGAAAGATTGTTCGTGACGACCAGCATTGGGATCTCCATCTTGCCCACGCGGAGATAGCCTATAACCATGCCATCTCGCCAGCCACGGGGATGTCGCCTTACTATTGCGACCTCGACTATCATCCTCGTGTTCCCGCGGACTTCCTTCGACCGTCAGAGATGCACCCCGACACGAGTTGTCCCGCGTTGGATGATTGGGTTGCACATACGACGTCGATCATGAAGATCACACATGAGCACATAGCCGCTTCCTAAACTCGCATGGCAGCACGTGCGAATCGATCGAGGATGCATCATCCATTCAAATTCGGTGATGATGTGCTTATCGACACCCGCCACTTACAGCTCGAAGCGGAAACACTTCGCAAGTTTCGATGTCGCTTCTTTGGCCCATGTCGCATTCTCCAGGCCATCGGTTCTGATACGGCTTCTAGCCCGGTCAACTTCTGTGTGAAACTGTCTGACTACCTACGCCAGACTCGTGTGCACGATGTCTACCACGTCTCGTTACTGCGTCCTTACCGCAGACCGTCTAAGAGTTTCGCTGGACGACCATACGAGCGTCCTCCACCCATCATGGTGGACGACCACGAGGAGTTCTTTGTTTCAGACATCATTGGTCACCGAGTCACCGACGACAACCCTCCTCACGTCGAGTATCTCGTACGTTGGAAGGGTTACCCTGATGAGGAGGCTACTTGGGAGCCCCTCGAGCACTTGCAGCACGCTCGCATGTTGGTGCGTGCCTATGATCGTGCTCGTCGTGATGGGTTGACTGCTCCTCCTTTGCCCACTGACCATCCTCCTTCTCCCTCGACTGAGGAGACCTTTGAAGTTGAGCCTGCTCCATCTGAGGCAGACCTTCAGCATCAGTTGGATGCTTCTGAGCATTCACAACGCACTTGTCGCCGTCCTGCTTGATACGACGATTGACTCCGACTTATCTTCCTACGTCCTTGACTTCTCAGTACTCCATCCGCTCCAGTTTTGCCACTTCAGCTCGTCGACGTTGCGGCTCTTCCTCGACGACATTCCGGATTTCTCATCATGGACGTCATCGACAACTTCATGGACTTCGTCACGATCAACTCTGCCTACTTCAGACGCCATCACCCTCTGACCACTTTACCCTGTACAGTACCCTGCTTATGTCGCATGATGGTCTCCCTTCGCTGGGTTCCTCTGAGTTGTGCTCTCCCTTGGTATACGCATAGGCATCGGGATCGTAGCGTTGCCCTGACTTCCCAACTTACGGATCTAGCTCCGACTCCCCTCACTTTAGGAGTCATTTGCATGATTCGCTTACCTATCACCATTCAATCCTTTGCCGGCCCTCACGCCCTAGTTAGGCAGCCTCGCATGCTTCATCTAGGTGCGCCCAATATACCGGGTTCCCTTGTTCCCTTGCATGGTCGACCCTCCATAGCGGTCACCCCTTTAGTCGAGCATTACCCGCCCTGATGGTCTATCTGTTAGGGTCATTGGTTCTGTTCGCTCCCAGTTCCCTACCCTCATTGAGCTGATGACATGTGTCTCCCTATCATTTTGTGTGAATGCCCTTAGGAGTTATCGACCCCTAGGCTGCATTCGCCACCCTCAGAGACCATCCCACCCTTTTGTTCACGACATACTCCTCCTGTGACATATGGTCGTCTTGTTGTTGCTTTGTTGCTCTCAGACTGAGGCTACTGCCCTTGACATTTCTAGGATTTAGTTGTTCTACTTTTGCTGTTCTTAGGACTTATACACTAGTCAGTTGTTTCCAGATTGAGGCTACTGCCTCCAATATTCTAGGACCTAGTTGTCATTACTTTCTGCTTTCCTAGGACATGTATGCTAGTTAGTTGCTTTTGCTTTCACTTAGGCTGTTAGCTGTGACATTGTTGTTTTTTGTGACATTTCCTATCCTAGGTTGCATCGCATGGACTCAGCATGGAGCTTGCTCTGCATCCTAGAGTCCCTAGACTACTCAGGTTTTCTTTTTCTTTGGTAGAGTTCCGCTTCTTGGCAGAAGCGTGCTTGTATCTAGGCGATCCATCACAGGCCGAGGATCGTGTAGCGGACCTCTGGTTAGCCTATGAGACCAGCCCCTTGGCCTATTCTCACAGGCCTGTGTTGTATTCGGGGCAGTCCAGTCCAGGCCGGTACCTCTGTCGGTACCAGCCAGTCTAGTCCAGCCCCGTCAGTCCACTGGGGTATACCCCAGCTGTTGTCCGTTTTCCGATTCATTCTACATTCGCACACTTTGGAGTACGTGCGTTGGAATCTGGCGTGGCAGCTGCGCTGTGCCATCTCCATCTCTATCCCTGGCGGAGCACCACACCTGGTGGGTCCGCCACAGTACCTGAGTTTACCCAATTGGTTGTTTAATCACAAAAGTAAACAGTCGCAATGCTACGTGCTTTATTGTTTTTCATCCATCCGGTGAACCGATAAAAAAGAAAAGTGTGAGTTTGATCCAATCACAGTGACAATTGTAATTCATTAAGGAAGCGACAAACATGCACTCCCATAATCTAAGCGGGATTGTAACTCAGACTGGGATTTGAATAACAAGAAAGACACAGATACAAGAAAAGCACAGATAAAAGTTCATTGAGTATTAGACATCTCGATTTACTGCTTACTTAGAGTACAGTGCTGAAGACCAGCTCCCCTTTGGAGGAGGGAATTGCCCAACAGAAAGGGGATCCCCAAAGTTTCGTAAAGGAGGTGGACTTTTGTGTCGCCTATGACGTACCAGCTTCCGTACCGGAGCGATCTTCTGAAGCCCTTAGTTTTTGTTGTTCCTACTCTTCGGAATTATCTCGGGTTTTCTGGGTACCTCTTCCTTTTTGCTATCCCCTCAGTGCACAGAATCGCAGGTCAACCAGGCCCTGTCATGTCTAAGACGATGCTTCTTTTGGATTTCTTTGCAATTTCCTTTTGGTAATCCATTCATCTACGTTGGAATTACGCGCGCCTTAGCGAGCGCACTAGGAATTTTGTTCGGCAGTTGGGAACTCCTGAAATTACGGGCGCTCTTCCCAATGACATATCCTTTCTTGCAAGTGAATGTTCCCCCACGCACCCTTGAAAGATCTGTAGATACATTAAGATTCTTTTATTTAATGTTCTTTCATACAGTTAGTTGCATCCATATATTTTTCTCCACAATTTAATAATGTCTCAGTACATGACTTGATACAAGCCACAGAACAAGATACAATACAGCAGCATACTTTATGGAGGTGTAGCTGGAGTCTTCTCCGAGCCACAGCTCTTCACCAACCTGGGATCAAAGCCAAAGTAGGCTCATGCTAGACGATGGCATGGGCATTTCACGAGGCACTAGGACCGAGAGGAGTGTCACTCCCCTGGCCACATTAGACCAGGCTCAGGCCGTGTCTCTAGGCCTGTGTACCCCAGTCATGCAGGGTCAGCTATCCTGCCCCCGCCTTTGGTCAACATCGTTCTTATCTTACAGAAAGCCACAGACTTGGAGCCAAATGCTCACAGATAAACTCTCTCTTCTTCCACAAGAGACTAGGGACCAGGACTGCGGCCCGGATCCCAGCCTTTCCTCAAGCAATAACTCCGTAAGTCTTAGATTCCTACCTATGAGATACTGGTCCAGGACCTTTGTCCCTTTGTTGGGCAAACTTCTTACTTTGGGACACTGGACCCAGTTTCCAGATCCTTTTTAAGCACTAGCTCTGTCAGGCATATTTAAGGGACGCTGGACCTGTTTTCCAGTGAGTGTACAGCCCTCAGGGCACTGGACCTTCCCCCTACTAGTAGTTGAAGTCGGGTTTCTGCCCTCATTCCTTTTCTCCGTACTATCCCACAGGGGACCCGGTTTCGAGTTTTTTTTCCGAATGATGGACCTGTTTTCCAGCCTCTTCAATAGGGACGCTGGACCCAGTTTCCAGCATGGGCCCCTGTTCCAACCTAGTAGAATAGTCAGGACCCCGACCCTCGGTTTCCAGCATGGGCCTCTGTTCTCATATTATGCAAAAAAAAAAAAAAAAACCTCAGGGAGAGGCCCTGTAGCCAAAAAAATCTAAACGAAAACACAAAAATCCCTAAAATCCAACGGCCTAACTCAGTTGGTAAGGCTCGCAAGTGGCCTTCAGGAGGTCGTGGGTTCAGTCCCCATTGGCCACATGTACCTTCCTGGGCATACTTGGCGCCCGCCACTTTAGAGAGAGACCACTGGATGCCCCGATTGGCATTGAGCAGAGTCTGCTGATGTTCGTAATGGAGGGGGGAACCACCACCTGAGGGGAGGCGCAGGGATTGGTCCTGTTGGCATGGCCCCTGATGCTACCAGCTGTCCCCTGGCCGGTATCGCCCACCTGCAGGTCGGGAGCGGTCCCCGCATGCTCTCTCGTGAACACGGTTCTGGCTGCTATGGGGTTCCCCGTATGCGTACAATTAGTAGTGGTAGGTAGGTAGTGTGAGGTGAAATTGAGAAAATAATTTAAATTTTCAAAAAAACAAAACAAAAAAAAAACCCTAAACTAGCTACAATCCACAACGGCAGCCACGGACCTTTTTGTTTTTGGCAATTACCCCTATTTTTAATGATGACTCCATTAAAAAAAAAACAAAAAAATGACGACTCCATTCTATTGGTGGGTTGCTGCACCTGCTGAAACTGTGGGTCCAGCCTCTGATAGAGCCTGGCTCCAGTACGCAAAAGACAAAACATATGGTGGTGTATCTCTCCATGTTCCACCAGCAGATTCGTTCTCATTTGCACATTTGGTGAATAGTGGAACCAGGCCCATTATGAACACAGCTAGATCTGTGTGAGTCCTTCTCGCTACTGTACATACATTGGGCCTCGGCACACTACTCCCGACTTGGCCACATTCGGGAGTGCAGCGTCGTTACACCAGCTCCCGAGTTCAACCTGTCAGCTTGAATTCGGGAGCTGTCAGAATGTGGCTCCCGCTTGAGCCTCCCGACCGTAAAAGGCCATTTTCGGGAGACCGCTCGGGGAGGCCTGTGTTTCGACCGGAGAACTCGTGCGCAGACAAGTGTTCTCCTGACAGTTTTCATCGCCACATGCTGGACAGTGCTGGGCAGTCTCCGTCTGAAGTGCACCTCCTGGCCTCCGAACTGGAGAGCGCCCCAAGTCGGGAGTACAGTGTGGCGAAGCGCACTCCCAAATGGATTTTCGCATCTTCGGACATTCGGGAGTACTCCCGGAATTTTTCTCCAAGTCGGGAGTAGTGATAAAAAAAAAAAAAAAAAAAAAGTGTGGGGAGGCCCATTGTGTGTGTGTATGGGCCTCACCACACCACCGTGACTGTAGGAACGCAAGAAAATTCGAAATAAATTCGACAGCGTCCCTTTGACAGTTTGCCCCTCTTTAGCCACACAGCACTGTAAAGTGGAAGCACTTGTGAACGCAAGATGGAAAAAGATGGAAGTGCCTGAGGGTACGACAAACATTGGTCCATCACGAGTCCCGACCTCACTCTCACTCACCAAATTTCGAAGAGAAGTCGATGGCGCAGCCGAGGACTGTCGAAAGCATCGGATTAGCAGGCTGGGGACTGTCGAAACCATCGGAGTAGAGGAGTAGCAGGCTGGGGACTGTCAAAAGCATCGGAGTAGCAGGCTGGGGACTGTCAAAAGCATCGGAGTAGCAGGATGGGCATTCAACAACTTTCCACAGGAGGTGTCCAGAAGTATTCTCTGATTGGAATTTCTTGCTTTTTCCCCCCAAAAAGAAAAGAAAAGAAAAGAAAAAAAAGAACTGTTCTCTGACAACTTGCGAATTTTTTTAATTTTTTTTTTAATTTTTTTTTTTGGAATTGGAACAACTTTTTTTTACTGGAAACCGGGTCCGGCATCCCTTACATTTAATCCGTGGCTGTGTGGCAGGATAAGGCACTCCCGGCCCTACCCATCCAAACCACGGAACGGTCCCAGTTGATCATCTCAGACAAAAACACGGTAAAGACACAGTTTGAAGAACCTGAGTAAGAAAAGCCAGCACTAATACTAAGGCTGGACCCTGTGCTAATTTCAAAACTGAAGGCAAGACTACAAAGAAGGCAAAAACCAAGAMCTAAAAACCAAGGTAAAAGCAACGGTAAACGCAAAAAGGACAGCTAAACCAATAGTCTGCTAGCCTAACAYAGACCCTAGTGTGCTAAACTAMACTCACAAAAAGAAAGGTGAAAACTTYAACACTGGTGGCCCATTCTGCGGTGTGTCTGCAGTWACCAGCCCCGGAAAGGCTCCCCATCTTGTGCCAAACCACTTGATGGACTTGGCCGAATAGCCTTTTTTCTGAACRCGATATTCCCACTCTGCTGATATGGCCTGTTTGATAGAGTATTTGATCTCAGCTCTGACCATTGGTGGTGTCAAAAACTCGTCTCTCCTCACCCTGGCATTTCTGAGGCTCCACAGTGTCCAAATGATAGCTCCTCTGATTGTCTCTTCTGCATGCCCATATTGCAAGGGCGGYGCAGCCCTCCTGGCGGCTGTCCCTAGTAAGATGAATCCATCATCCCAACGAGTTGTGACCCCCGGCACCGGTACACCCRAGTATCTCCACCAATCCCAAAAAGGCGAAGAAAGGTCGCATTGTAGGACAAAGTGTTGGATGTCTTCCATCCTGGTTCCCTGGCATATTTGACATTCAGGTGTTGCCTTCGCAGTTCTTTTAGCACACCAAGTGTTGACCGGCAACGCCAGGTGCATCAACAACCAAAGAAGGCTCGAGTGCTTGCTCACCWYTAAGTCCATCAGCTGCTTCCAGAAAGCAGGAAGTGCTGCAGACAGTCTTGTCACGGTGTCCATCACCCAGCCTGTAGCCATCCATCTTCTTGCCACTGTCCAGTTGACATCAWTCGGCGGAGTCATAATTTGGTAGCCCAGCTTAGTAGTMTATTCTGATAAATTTACCACTTCATTGCGACRCAATGGGTGCTCCCATGCCCAGTCTCGCGGATCAACTGACAAATTGTAAGCTGGCTTCTGCAAACAGAAAGGTCTGTAGCTTTGTTTCTGCTGTAGTACACAAGCTGGCAACAACTGTTGAGCGGGCAGGAGGGGAAGCTGTTCCTCAGAGCACAGCAAAGGCTCTGCCAAGGAATCAGCACCTCCCCGCACCTGCCAGCAGGTGGTCGGGATTTCCACCGCTTCCGAATAATCTTCAATTCTCCAAATGTGGTCAGGCATATGATGTTGGGCCCTGTCTCTTATACACATCTAGATGTGTATAAGAGACAGGTGCCTGTGTGTGTGTGTGTGTGTGTGTGTGTGTGTGTGTGTGTGTGTGTGTGTTGTCATGTTGGCTATACACAACTGCCCCCAAAAAGCAAGCCTGAAAAAAAGAAGGAAAAAAAAAGCATGCCTGTGGGGACACTCAGGGCATACTCACACTGCGACCCCAAATCCACAATTTGTTTTTCTTTTTTTTTTTCATAAAGAGCAACGGCCTTGAGATATTATCATTGAGCTGACCGGCCCCACTCAATTCATTAGTAGTTGGTTTTTCTCATCAAGTTCCATCATCTGGATTCGAACAGGGGTTTGCATTTCAACAGTTCATGGGTGTACCCACTGTGAGCTAGGCTCTTGGTCCTCTTGGATCTGGGAAGGACCGATTTGAGGTTTTGGGCCCGTTTTGGTTCACGTCACACCGCTGTACCTTTTCAGATGGGACAGGGTCGTGGCCGCCTGGAGAAATGGGTATGGTCACAGGGCGCCATCTACAAATTGTGCAAGAACTTTTGTCAACGAAATTTTGCCAATTTTTGAAGAAAATGAAAAGAGACAAAAGGGCATTTGGGATCACCTGATTTGAGGTGACTGCAAAATCCCTAGGCCGCTGACAAATGGGCACAGGAATAGTACATTTGCGAATTCGGTAGATCCGTGTGACGGGCCTTTTCCTCTTTTTTCTGGGATTTTGGGAATATAGGTCCCCGTGTGAGTATGCCCTCACATTAGCACTTCTCTAAGCGTATCTGGCTGGAATCACCTCCAGACCTGAACGGATCTCACCACAATCAGGTCCAGAGCTGAGTGCAGAAAGTCCTAGAGTGAGTGTGCCTGTGTGTGTGTGTGTGTGTGTGTGTGTGTGTTCAGAGGCTTGCCCGCGCTGCTGTGGGACACCAGACTGTAGATTGGTGAGTGAGAAAGTTAAGTTGGAAGAAGACAGAAGGGAGAAGGGTAGGAGAAGGGAGACGATTAGGTGGGGGCGCATGAAGCTCCAGTGACTTTTAGTCTTTTGCTCTTTTTTTTTTTTTTTTTTTTTTTTTTTTTTTTTTTTTTTTAAAAATAAATCAAAAACGTAAACGAAAGAAAATAAAAAAAAATAATGAAATGGGTGGGTTTTTTTTTTTCACAGAGTTTTGCTTTTCCGCTAGCCGAGTGGTTAAGCAAATAGACTACTGGTAGATTTTTTTTATTATTTTTTTTTGTTACACCCAGGCCGGGCTTACACCGAGGGAGAGTCAGATGAGACGAGCCGGGGCAAGGTCCCACCTGCGCAAATTAGCAGATTTCGTCCGTTGATATTTGCTATCTACGGTCAGTATCTCATAATTCGTGCAAGTGGGACCTAGCCCCCGAACTCGGACTTCCCTTGTCGGAATCTGGCCTAGTTTTCCCGTTAGACATCCACCGAGACCCCTTAGACGTATTGTGAGTATGCGCTAAGGGGGGGAAAGAGAAAATGATTTGATTTTTTTTTTTTTTTTTTTTGGAAAGCATGTAAATAAATATATTGCAAAAACAATGGGACTAAAGGAGATGAAAGGTGAGAAAAGGATATTCCTCGAGGAAGATCTGTGCGATAAGGATTGAAAGGTGAAGTGTCCTCCGTAGGAGAGGTTGGACTAAAGGAGATGAACAGGTTAGTTTAGTCCCCCTTGTTTGACGCAGAAGGGTCACAGTGGACGCCGGACGGAGGGACGGGGTGCAACGAACGACAGGAGCACACATCTGTCTCTCAATTCCAGGACGAACATCGGCTCTGTTTCTACTGCCCCGCACCTCTTTCTTTCTCTCTCTCTCTCTCTCTCTCTCTCTCTCTCTCTCTCTCTCTCTCTCTCTCTCTCTCTCTCTCTCACACACACACACACACACACACACACACACACACACACACACACACACACACACACACACACACGCACTAAATTTTTGTTTGGAGTCCCTTGAGAATGCGAGACTGAAGTGCAGTATCCCTAGTGCTGGAAGTATCTCTGAGGAAGTTGACAACGACAACGAGGAGGCAGAAGATCGTGGGCGGCAGGGGAGGGAGGAGTTGATGTAGCAGTCCGAGAGCCGTCTGCCAGGGAGCAGAGGAGAAAATTTGAAAATTTTCCTTCCTTCCAGAATGCAGAATGCCTTAGTGCGGACTGACTCGAAGAGGTGGATTTGATTAGGAGCCGCGCGGGGGACAGTGGACCTTGTCCTGCTGGCGGAGTGCTCCTCGGATTTCCTTACTAAGAAACACAGACACAACAATTGTGACCCCTGGAAGGGGGCGGAGGGGTCCAGACCCTCCTGGGGGTGGTGGTGGTGGTGGTGGTGGTGGTTGGGGGGGCGGGGGGGCGCGGGGCGGGGGCCATAGCAGATCGATCTGTAGAGTACATTGAAGAGCTCAGAGGAATAAGTACGTTGGGGGAAAAAAAAAGAAGGCTACGTTGAGGAGGTGAACGAGAAATATGAAGTCATCTTGGCGATCTGAGTGTATTCTGTGAAGACCGGATTCTGTGAGTGAGGAGCAGGAAGGACAGGTATGGGGCTAGATCTCATGTTCTCTTCCTCTTCGTTGATTGAGGGAAGACAATGAGGATGGAACCGGCTGCCGGGACCTCAAGGCATCGTCTTGTGTGAACACAGGTCATCATCATCATCATCATCATCATCATCATCATCATCATCAGTTCTCGCGAACAGACGTCATCATAATATTATCAAGTTAGTTGCGCTGTTTACGATAACGACTTTCTGTCTCTCTTCTCTCTTGCTCTCTCGCTCTCACCCCCTGCCTTCCACTTCCCTTCCCCCCTCCTTCCCCCCTCTTTCCCCCCCATCCTCTCTCTCTCTCTCTCTAGTCCAATGCGTATGCGTGGAGTGTTCTCTATCTGTACAATGTATAGCCGAACGGAATACGATTAGGTGATTGCTTCGGCATTTCCGATTGGTGCAAATCAACGATCGAGATCGTGTTAGTGGAAAACGGTGGAAAACGGTGGACAACGGTGGAAAACGGTGGAAAACGGTGGAAAAAGATGGACGTATACAGTTGATGATGTCACGTGATGACGATGTTTGCTCTGTCGGACTTCCCTCTTCGGAGTCGTTTTCAGATCGTGTGCCCAGGTGCTGAACCGGCTCCCACTGGTTCCACTGCTTTGCACCGCTTGCCACCGTTTTCGACCGTTTGCCACCGTTTTCCACCGCTTTCCCACTGGTTCTTCTTTACAGATCTTCTTGACATGGTTTTGGAATTTGCTTTTTTTTCCCCCAAACTTTCTTTTTTTTTCCCCCTCCGTCTCGTCACAGCTTTCGTGCGTGTGTTAACTGTGCACCGCGTTTCTGCAAAATGATGACATTGTGCTTCAAATGAAAGGTAGCAGAGTTTTTTTTTTTTTCCCTTTTTTTTTTTTTGGGAAGTTAACTGAAGATCGTCTGAAGTTTGTTCCCGTGGTCCGAAGCCGATCAGTGCAATATCTGATCGAAAAGGAAAAGAGAAAAAATGAGAAGAAGTAAAGGGCTACAGCCGTAAAGGCACTAAGGGAAACACTGTAGTGAACAACTCGCCGTTGGAACACATACACACACAGAGAGAGAGAGAGAGAGAGAGAGGAGTTTGGTAGTTGGTAAAATCCTAAGTTAAAGTAGCTGGTACGTTTAAGCAAATCAGCCGCGAGATTAGAAGTTAGATTAAAAAAAAATTGTCGTTAATTGCTGTGCTAAAAAAAAATGTGGGCTGCCTATGTAGCACATAACGTAGTACACACACACTTAGTCGCATTCGCATTTTGCCATTTTGCCATTTTGCAGCGTCGGTCGGCGCTTGCTCGTTTCTGCCCGGATTTGCGTCTTTCCATTCTTCGCTGTCCAATTCTCCCTCTTCTTTTTCCTTTTCCCTTGTTTTTTTTTTCCCCCCCTTTTTTCCCTTTTTTCTTCTTTTGCTTGCTATTTCGTCGTCCCCTAGACTCGTGTCTAGTTTAGCTCTGTGTCTCTGTGTCTCTCTGTGAGTGTGTGTGTCTGTGTGTGTGTGTGTGTGTGTGTGTGTGTGTGTGTGTGTGTGTGTCTGTGGGTGTGGGTGTGGGTGTGTGGGTGTGGGTGTGGGTGTGTGTGTGTATTGTC